GATTTCCTCTTTAAAGAGTTCTGATTCAGATATTTCCTGTAACATCTCTGTGGTGGGAGTCTGAGCTGAAAGACACTCTCGAGTCTCCTGAAGACGGGTTGGACTCTGCGAGAGGTGCAGGTGCAAATACTCCTCCCGGCTTGCTGTCTGTATGCTGTTGATGCTTCAGAGGGTTGTTTCATATTGTAAAGATCTCGTAGTACTATACTGTACCAATAGGGCACTCCTCCCTCAGACTGTCTGTTGGTTCCAGAGTTCAGCTTCCCAAACTGGAAGCTCCTCTTCTGGTCCCACAGCACATAGTTGGGCTGGATCAGGTGACCCTGAATCCTCTCTTAGTTGTGCTGCAGTAGCTCCAGACTAAGTATGTAGGTATATGTGTGTGAGATATTTTAATGTGGAGTTCAGTTTGCCTGCTTCAGAAGCCGTGTCAGCTGACTGACCTGCTTCCATGACTCACCTTCAGGTCCTGAGTCAGATAAACTTTCCACCTGATCCTTTGTTTCCATCTCCTTAAAATCTCTGAGCTCGCTGTCTCCCAGCTCCTCCAACGCTTCCACCAACTCTGTTGGTGCTGCCATCCTCGGTCCTGTCAGGAATCAGGAGATTTATCTTCAGACGTAACACATCTGTACCCGTGAACATGTGGATCAATGAGAATAAAACAAACCCACGAGATAGACACAGTCCACTTCAGACGGCTTTACAGTTTTTAATCTGTTCAGTGTAATAATGAACAAACCACACGTGTGTCTCACAGGTGGTTTTAGTGTCAGTTTCACAGAAGAAATGAGAAGTTTCACCTCTGTCGACGTCTTCTTCAGACGTAATCCAGACAGATCAATGCCACATTTTGTGCCAGTTGAACATCAGTTTAATAAGTTCTTTAAAGCAAAATATGACCTTCATTACCTGCTCGTGTTTTTGGTTTATATTGAGGATATGCTGAAATAGACTATTGCACTTTCAGAAGGTTACTAAGTGAGACGTGAGAGAGAAATAACCTGAGGAAGCTGCGTGGGAGTCATGATAATAACAGGTTCTTGCTTTATTACCTCCTTTAGTAAGAAGGTAATAATAATGTTGGGACACAACTTGATATTTCATCATTTGTACAAAAAAATAATTTTAACATAACAAAGTGATGTTAATCATATAAATGTTCAATAACAGTGTTACGCTGTGCGGCAGGCAGGATGTAGGAAATGCAGGACTCAGCACGCTAAGGTCTCTTAAAGCTGCAGATTTATTCGCTGCGAAAACTTGAATGCAAGATATAAGAAACAAAACATAATGACCGAGAGCTCGGAGACCAGGAAATAAGAGAACAGAAACTAGAAAACTAGGAACTGACGAGAAAACAAACACGGAGACCGGCAGCATGGAGGAAACATCCAGCAGAGACGGTACGAACAGGGGAACAGCTGGAAACACAGCTGGGACTAATCAGAGACGGTTAATGAGACACATGATGAGACACAGGAAACAAGATCATCAAAGTAAAACAG